TTCCTGAATGCACAAGACAAACAAAGAAATACAAAGCGCTCACGTACATCATTTAAAGTGGTGCTGGATTTCCTTTGTTTGCCTTGTCCCTGTGCTTCTCTTGTGTCCGATGGCGTTTTTGTAGGCACTTGACTGAATAGCCACAAAGGCTCCATTAGACTTTTTTATGTCATGCGTGATTACGAAACAGGCATTGTTTGCGCTGAAGTTTTCATATTGCCACAGATACAGTGAAACCTGTGTTAATTAAGCGGAGACCCACGGGCTAATAAATCTATAGTGTCCGCTCCGGATTATCGAGGCGTTAAACACAGGTTACTAGTTTTGGGGTGGATGAATTCAAGTATGTTAGTTACTCGTAGCTCACACCTGTAACACAGGATCTCCTCTTAATATTGGGCGCACTTAATCACTTATGGAAAACGCAGAGGAAAACGCTTACACTGGCTCTAGGATCCCACACAAAGAAGTGAACTGAAACATGTTATTTCGAATCCATATTATTATTTGAAAGTTGAAAATATATTTGAAGTATTGTCCTAATGACACTTAAATGCCATTTTGATAGAGACGTTCATGCAAATAATAGTATGGATTATACTTAAATTATAAACTTCAGCTTCCTGTGGTACAGCAACTATTTACTTTTTTCTTGTCTTCGTCCTCTGAAGAGAATGTGACTTGTTAGTTTGGTGTCTCAATCGATGTCATTTATTCCTGACACTCAGTTGTATCGTCGACTTCACCTTTAATTGTTAACTACATAGCTTATCCTATGGCACGTCATTCAATTTCATTTTTTTAAAAGTTGATTGAAATTTGAATTGCATGGCCTTGAAAATTTGACAATCACCCCACCTGCAGGTATAAAGACAAACCTCTTTTAAAATGGCAAAGCCCCACCGCCGTTGAAATTAAATTCGCCACTTAAATAATTCCTCACAAATGCCTCACGGGTAGGCACTCTTTATTGGAAATAACCTCTGAAACAATACATCCACACTCAAATTAGGTTTGTAGCATTCTTTCCGGAAATTATCGTGCGAGCCTACACAGCTACTGCTGCACTGAACTAAAAACAGTGCCAAAAATTACTTTTCCGATTTTTTTCTCCAATTATTCGGAGAGGTAAGTTCCTCTTCTGGTTCCATTACAGCTTTACCTTAATTTTAGCCTCCCCATCCTTTAGGAATTACACCTGTTTACTCATACTCTCTGTCTGCTAATTTACGCTTAAGAATAGACCATTTCACGGTTTTTTCAACTTTTGATATGATCCACTTTGTGAATAATCCGTCGATAATGCTGAAAAGAGAAGCTAAAAAATATAAAAATAATGAAATCGCCAATATTGTCGGAGTGTTGTATGCTAGCGGAGATATTGCCCTGCAAGGTCGCAAATGTTTTTGGTAAACTCAGGGCAGCACCTTGCCCTCCACGTGATACAAACGTCCCACGCTTAAAATTTGGCGACTAATGGAGCTAAATCCTTGGTCGCTTTGGGCGTATTACTTTTAAACTTTGCAAGTTTACTAATGTTAAGGGCCTCTGATCTTTTCAGCGGTGTTGATGAATCCTCGCCAAATAATCCTCGTCTAATTTTGAAAAAACCGTGGAAGAGTCTAATTAATTCACAAAATATTGGCACTTTTATATTGCATTGTTTGTATACTAGTGACAGAAGGGAGATAGGAAAAAAGACGGAAAAAAGGAACAGAGCATTTCTGATAAAGGAGACTTGCAATTATCGACCACATTGTGAGGTGTCTTGCTGAGGTAAGTTGTAACTTGCTGAGTATTTGGCATCTAATAGTTAAATTTGATGACGAAAAAATACCCTTTTAATATGATAAAGCAGAAAAAATTACTGATTTTATGTTTTGCTCTTTCACTTATAATCCAACTAAATTTCCCTGTTTACTAGACACCAATTCAAAGTCCAGTGGGGAACGCTACAATAGATCTACACCGCTTCTGGAATGGCAGGCCCGCGTTTTTTCTCTTTGCTAGCCACCATGCTGGAGTGTGTTGTTTGGGGAGCTTGGCTGAACTATATCGTTACTGCACATCAAGGTCAGAAAAAAAAAAAAACAAAACCAAGACAAAAACAGCGCTTAATTATTATGATCAGCTTTAAAATAATTTTGGCGCTTATGTTTTTATGACGCACACATTTTTCAGGTGAATTTCACTTGACATTAGTTAAGCAGTTTCGTCGTTTTCTTTATACAAGGCAGCTAGAATAACTTGAATTTACTTAATATTCACCTATTAACAGACGTTGTAATCAAAAGATGGTCATTTGGGGTTTGTAAAAACAAATTTTATCATTCTTTATCATTCTTTCTTGCTAGGTTACCCGTCCCTGCCTTGTGAGTGCTATGGTATCTCTCTTGCTAAACATTGGGAGCGCCTTAGAATATCGTAACCAAAAACAAAGAAAAAGTCTCTTAATTTTCAGATCCTTCTCCACCTGCAGAAAATTACGGCCATTTAGCCTGTCCTTTAATTAGTAATGAGAATTTAATTTAAGAAGTAAGCAACATTACATTTTACAGACACTTTCAGTTACATGTAAATGTATCTTTACTTATTGGGCAGAAAAACACTAACGTTTTCTGGCACTAATCAGAAGTTAGAACGGCGGCGACCGTTTGGAACTGGTCCGGTAAGACATTGTCCCCAGAGGCTCTTCTCGCCGTTCTTTACTTTTCTTCGTGCCATATTTTTCCGCCCGTTTAGACTTTCCCTCGCCCCCACTATCTGCCCCTGGGTCTCCGAGGATGGTCACTTGTCGGCTTAGAAAGCCAACTTTCTTATTTCACACGTTTGTGATTTCACATCATGTGGTCGTTGCCGCATATTAACTGTTTGGACGTATTAACGGAGTTTTCGTCTAAGAAATTTCATGCTGCTTCTCCGGGACGAAGCGAAGTATCCAAAATAGCTTAACTGAGGATCTCTTATAAAAGAAAAGGCCGGCCTATAGGTTGTTCCACTATTATAATAGCAAAAAATAACTTGACGAACTTTCCCCGTTGAGATTTTATTTTCCAAATTCCAAGAATTTCCTGGGTATTAATGTTTTTAAAATGTGAAAACTTTTTCTTTCGTTACACCATCAAAATTGAACGCTTTTGATAAAACTAATTATAATACCACCGTAAACAAAGGTTTTCTGAGCTTCTCGTTGAGGCGTCCTTGTAGTAATGATCTCGAAACAGCGACATTCCCCAAAATAACTATAAGGCTTCTTAATTATAATAATAATAATCTGAATAAATAAAATAATTGAATAATACTTTGATAATTAGACACTTTGTAAATTCTTAAAAATTTAAAAGAAGAGTTTTATAAACTTCGAACTATATATTGGCTTTTGAGACATCAGAGATACCACAATTCGAGCTTCCTTTTTGTAAGCAATCATGTCTAAAGCCTTTTCTTTGACAAGTTATCAATAACTGATGTTTTGCGCAACCATGCAGCAGGTGAATTTCCACTCGCCTTCTTCACAGTTGATATTGCGCCTTTTCAGGAATTCTGTTGCCTTACTATAAAACTGCGGTCCGTTCACCAGAGGACGGAGTCTCACCAAGAAGCTATAGGTTTCTTTCTCCTAGATTTTACTCAATTAAGGGGCGAGACGGGCGATGACAAAAAACGTATTTCAGTTGTATTTGTGATAAGTACATACAATATCTGCTTTTACTATGTGGGACAAATATTCAAGAGTGAAGAGCAAGAGAAAATATATATAATTATACTTTTATATTGTTCTCTTTTTTTTTCTCGCACGCGATGTCACAAAAGAGTGAAACCCTTAGTCGTTTTTTGTAAAGCTAACACTGAACCAATAATCGGTCACAATTGCTGACACTTTATTAACCTTAAAAATATCTGTCTCGGTTGAATGTGGTCAACACAACTGCTACATTACATTTTTGCCATCAATCAGAGCTTTCTACCTTGAGCAGCAAGTGTTTCTAAATTTTTCCGTCCGATGTACAAGGAGATATGTCTAGACCAATATAATGCACTCTTAAGACGGAATGTATCTCTTTGTTATATTTGTTGTCGATATAAGCTGCCGTCTTCGGTCACTCAAGAGTTCTGAAAACAAAGTCGGTTATAAGAATCGCCCCATAGGTAAGGGAATCCAATACATTCTGGGATTCTGGATTCCATGCCCTAGATTCCGAATTCTCTGTCAGTGGAATGGTATTCCGGACTCCAATTGTTGGTAGGAGTCCAGATTCCTTGAGCTGTATTTCGGATTCCAAAGTCCAGGATTCCGGATTCCAGAAGCGAAAATTTCCTGGTTTCAGAATCCGGATTCCCTTACATGGACTTAAGTTATTTTTAGTCCCGTGAGGGACTGAGAGATAATTGAATCTTGCGCACTCATTTGCAAAGGCGTGGGATTGCCAAATTAGTGCACTCTTCTAGAATGCTGACTTCAACACTGATAAGTAGTCGGTCAAACTCTTTTCTACGTTTTAACTAGTTTTTATTTTGAAAATCCCTATCTTAGGTGATTGTGGTCAAAACAACCGACGCATTACATTTCTGACACCAGCCAGAGGCTTTTACCTTGAAGGGCATGTGATTTCAAATCATTCAGTGGAACTAAATCTAGACTGCCAAGACCAATGCGCCCTTGCTAGAGAATGTGTTTCATATAATATTGGTCCAATGATAAACACCAAGATGGCCTGTGAACTGAGTAACTCAGATCACTTGCAACACCCAGAGGATCTCAAACCAAGAAAAGACTGGACCTACAGAGGCACAGAGGTATTTATGCCCTCCCAGATGAATTTTGAACCATTTCATCATGTAGTGGTGGATTTATGATGATTCTAAGCCAGTGATGGCGGTATATGTAATGTACTGTAATTCCGATCTATAACTTAATATTCAAAATTTAACAACGTACATAATACATAATTGCTGAAGCTGATCCAATCAATAATTCATTGAAACTGTTTTCCTTTTAACAGAATCTTTGCGCCACTGAGCCCTGCCTGAACAATGGAACGTGCTACATGGGATATACCTTGAAGAAGTACATTTGCGCTTGCCCAGCTGGCTTCAAAGGTGAAAACTGCGAGATAAAAGGTACTCTCAACAGAACTAAAACCTACCTGGGGGGGTGGGGGGTTATCAGTAAGGGTTTTTGCGCGCCCTAAATTTTTCTTCCTTTTTTTAAATAAAAAGTTAAAGTGATACAAAAGAGAATAAGGCAAACATCAACACATAGTTCGTGATATTTATTCCTTTTCTTTCCAGTGGACACTGATCTACGACGATTTCTCCAAGTAGGGCAACGATTAAACAGCAAAGGGGGTCTATATACTTAGCCCGCGTACAGATGCCCCCTCAGTAAAGCAATTCCCCTTTGCCGACTTTTTACTAAGGGGAGGGGCGTCTGAACACAGGCTAAATATAGTGACTGTGACTGAACATAGCCGATGGAAGAGGGGGAGAGTTGAAGGGGGAGGGGCGGATGGACACTCTAAAAATGACTTGATGTCTTGGTACTACTGCACACCGTATTAGCGATCTACTCCAATCCGTTTGTTTATAAGAGATGTTTTATTTAAATATAGTTGGTAGTAAATATAGTGGCTGCTAAGATCACGGCTATCATATTGAGTTAAAGTGATAAAGCTTGGAAACGCTGCGACGGTCACTCATTTAGTTAATTCAATCGTGCTTTACAGATGTTCGCAGAAATTGTGATGAGGTCTATGAAGCCGGTTTTCGAACCAGTGGTGTCTACACTATCGACCCTGATAATGCTGGAGCCTTTGATGTGTACTGTGACCAAAAAACAGCCGGTGGGGGGTGGACTGTGTTCCAAAAGAGACTGGACGGCTCGGTAGATTTCTATCTCAGCTGGGACGACTACAAACGAGGCTTTGGAAATCTGAATGGTGAATTTTGGCTCGGGCTGGACAAGATTCATCGCCTGACAAAAGGACTCAGCAAGCTTCGAGTTGATCTGGAAGACTTCGACAACCAAACAGCTTACGCTGAATACGACTCATTTGCTGTTGGTGATGAACAGAGCAAGTACAAGCTGGAACGTCTTGGACAATATGCTGGTAAGACAACACCACAGTTAAAAAATTAAGGAAATAATAATGAAGTTCCACGCCGTCGTAAGATCAGTGCAACAATTTACAGTTTATATTTTACATTCCAATTTTAAGGAGGCTTAGCTTCAGCTACATGCTCAATAATTTCTGAATTTTCGTAATAACCACCAGCATTTCTCGAATAATGTTCCAACAAGAGAGAAATATCGGTCAGCGAGGCAATCTTAGCCCGGTGGCCGAGATATGTGATTTTCACTAAAGTTATATTTAGAGGCTGGATTAAGCGGAAATCTATTTCCTGGAACGTCCGCACATTTATCTCAATTCTTGAACGTCACAACCAAGTCCACCACGATTAAGGCGCCGTCCAAAATAATTCGTTTTCGTTTGAAAATGTATTTATTTCGCTGTGTTAAGGCCTGCCTTCCACACGTAAACACTGAGCATTTTCATCCAAAACGCATCGATTTGAAAACGCTTTTGAAAGTAACGCATCGCGTGGATGGTCGAAAAGGCATCGAAATGAAAAAGATGACGTCATATGTACCACGTGGGTCGTAAAATATTGCAGGGGCGTGTATTTGTAGCATGCGCATAGGGTTCAAATTACGGCACAACGTGCAATTTAGAGCGTTTTTGAACGTTTTAGTGTGGACAGTCAAAAACGCATCAAAACGGAAGCTTTGGACGCGAATCGATCGATGCGTTTTTGCTGGCAACTAAAACGCTTAATTTTGAAAACGCATTAGTGTGGACAGGGCCTTATTGCGACACACCAAGAGAGCATAATGACCCCTTATTCTATCTGACAACACTGAATAAAAGTTTGCGGACCTCTCCAGAAGCCAACTTCCGATAAATTTGAAGCGTTTAATTGGTGTAAAAACAATTTAGTGAAATTCGGATATTCCAAGGGCGAGAATGGATGTTTCCCTCTTTGTTCCATTCTCTCTTGGTTTATTTGGTATCTGAGTTTTAGCTCTAAATGAGATATAGGAAGCCGTTTCTCGCGTTGCTAGGTGATCGCTTCTCTTATTCCACCTACTTTCCTTTTGATAGACGGTCCGAAAACCGGGCTCAAGTTACTTAACGGGCAAGCCGAGGCAAGTGTATTGCGCCTATTGTAGTAGAGAGACGCTCATTAGTAAACCTATACGGAATTAGTATGCAGGAAGACACTGACTAGGCAGTAATTAGTATGGAGGAACGTAATTTTCTCTACGTTAAAAACAATGGGTGACGTCGTAGATTATCCCTAAACTATCCTTAGCTATCCACCAACGGGGCTTATCTCACAACATAGTAGACTACTCGTTTAGTTATTGTTTGAGAGGTCCCAGTTATTCAAAATTTGAAAACTTAGAATTAATTTAGCAAACTGGCAACTGTTGTTCGGTATTCCTTTACCCGATCTTGAACTCAGACGTTTCTTGGTTTCACCGATCTACTATGTTTCAGCGATTGCATTGTTTTAACGCGATTCTTAGGGTTTTAAGAATAGTTTGTTCATAGTAGCTTGCTATAAGCACGCGTGATTATTCCAACTCGCTTTGTTTGACAGATATAGGCGAATTTCAGGGTCGTAACGAGTTATATGGAATCAGGGATAAAAGGCAAAAAATGGGGCGGGATCAGGGATCACAGACCCGGGATCTGGGATCCTTAGTCGTAGGATCGGGGTCAGTAGTGCTGTGAGGTGATTAGGGACAGTTTTCCGACAGAAAAATGCTTTAATGGGAAGGACCAGGGGCCCGTTTCTTGAAGGTCCCGGTAACTTTACGGGCCCGAAATCAAATATTCAAATCGAAATATAAAGAATAAGAGCGCGGGTCCTGGCTAGCAAACTACTCCATTTTGTTTCATTAACTGACAGTTTTATCATGTTAGATGCAAAACTATTGAAAACTCGATCTTTAATGTAAACGGAGACAGCTTACCGGGCCCGTTAATTATCGGGACTTTCGAGAAACGGCCCCCAGGGGCCCGTTTCTCGAAAGTCCCGGTAACTTTTCGGGCCCGAAATCAAATACCCAAATCGAAATATAAAGAATAAGAGCGCGGGTCCTGGCCAGCAAACTACTCCATTTTGTTTCACTAACTAATAGTTTTATCATGCTAGATGCAAAACTATTGAAACCTCGATTTTTAATGTAAACGGAGACAGCTTACCGGGCCCGTTAATTATCGGGACTTTCGAGAAACGGGCCCCTGCTCTCGTTTAAAAACTCATTTGTATTTTTGGCGTAACAATTTGTTCCGGTCCTTAAGTATACGCAATGCGACTTTTTTAGTACGCCGCTGACTCTCGGCTGGGAGTTGCCTCATTTTGTTTTGACTCATTTTTTGTAACTATACCTTACATTCACTGAAATATCGAATTGGTCTGGGTTTTTTGACTGCCAAATAAGGACTTAATAAGAAAAAATTCATACAATGGACGTTACCTTTTGCCAATGATTTCCTTCTGCACCCCAAACAATGATTTTATACATGCTATTTCGACAGTGAAAGACGAGGTTTTTCAATGGACAAAACCCTGTTATCACCGCAATTGTTATTGCACTTGGTACTGTAACTTGTATTTTTCTGCTGACCATGCTCAACAGACAATACATGGTCCCTTGCAAGCCTTTAGCAGCTCCCGATTCCAAGCCTCTGATCAACGCTAATATCAAGTGACAAGTGTCGGGTGAAGACGGCAAATAACGAAGCCTTTTCTTATTATGCTAGGGAGAAAGTGTGCGAAACTGATCTTGACCAAACTTACAAAGGCTTACAAGGCGAAGGAGTAGTCGATCATGGCTCTCTAAAATAATGCAGTTTCCTAGCTCGTTGTTCGGCAGGTCATGCAGTGGCCTTTATCTTTGCCCGAAGAAAACTCAATCTGATCTCGTTTTGCTACTTAAAACTTAGTAAAAATTCTCAAAAAGTCGTGCCTTTTGCAGGTACGTTTTTTGAATAGCTTTCCCAACTTACACCATCCGCAGTGAGCTCGTAAACTGCTTACAATTATGTCATGGGGTAACTCAACCGAATATAATCGAAACTGATCTACATCAGTAAGAGGATTAAGTGAGATGGTGAGGTATACAACTAGAGGTCATTTGGCTGAAAAGAGTTGGTCAACTGGTGCTACCAAGGCGACGACTGAGAAAAAGCTAGCTAGTGTAAACCCCATTTATTCTGAGTCGATCAGCCAATCTTACTGACATTTCTTTTTGTGTGAATAAAATTTTGCTAAATGGAATTGATCTCGTTTTAAAAGGAACAAGGCAAAAAACAAATAGTGCTTGGTTTATTACGGAAACGTGACGGATAATATATAGATTTAGTCGGGGCTAAAAGCGAAGCTCTCGATAATATTTATAGTTTGTTCAAAAAGAATATAAAATCGCGTAATGCTAAGCGGCGAAGGCAACGCCGGAGAACGGTGAAAAAACAACAATAGGTCTAATTAGCAAAAAAGCAACTTTGCACGTGCAGTACACTTTTTTTGTACATTTCTTTGCCGTTGTTTTGCACGACTACAACGTGAAACTTCCATAAACTTTTTTTTATGGAGGAAATGTCGTACGTGTTCTCGTTCACTTTTTTTTCACTCCGCTCATTTAACCTTGCATTGGTGGCGGCTAGCATTGTCACCGCTGCTACAAAATTTTCATGTTGTTCTTCCAACAAAAAAAATGTCTCCTTTGCTTTTTATCTCTCGCTCTAGATCTCTGTCGCCCTTTTTCTCTTTGAGATTCGCTGGCCTGTCGCTTTTTCTCTTTTTCTCTGTCTTTCTCTTACTCCATATTCCAAATTTGTAGACATGACAATTAATCGAAGCTTAAAACTTTAGAAAACACGGATACAGAAACAATTTCCGCTTTCCGGTTTCGTCTTTATTGACTCTTTAGCTGCCTCTGCTTTACAAGACGCGGGTGGCTATGCGATTTCCCGCCAAAATAACCTCGAGCAGCATTTGAGTTGTCATACCTGTTGATTGAGTGATTTAACATTGGTATGCCTGTGGTGCGGACGAACGGTCGGGCGTACGGTCACGTGATTACCAAATTTTCTCGCATGGGTAGATTACCACATTTTCTTACCCATGGTGCTCCGCTGCGCGCGTTTCGCGCGCGAGAGCTCCGCTATAAGGAACTTCCCGTTTCCGTCGAGTTTACAAAATACGGAAACAGGTTATTTCGTCCTGTGAAACGCCGTCTAAAGTGTAACTATTATATAGAAATGATGATAACTAATGGAACTGGCTGGAGTAAAAAACTCTCCCGTCAGTAACTTGGCTGGGACTCTGCTGAAGAAATCGAGAGACACTTTATTTTGCATTTTATTCAGGTTATATCGGGTGCAACGGTGTAGACTAGAAAGTTTCACCCGTTTACCTTTGTTTACAAGGAAATATTATGCCAAGTCAAAGTTCAGTTAACATAACTAAAGAATAAAGAGTGTGATAAGTAGACTGTAACATAGTCAATTAAGTTTACATGCCCTATTTGTAATGGTAAAAATGCCCGTTTTACTTATTTGGAGTGCTGCTACTCTCTCACTTTCCCGCCGAAACGTCTAAAGAAAGGTTATTTAGGACCATTAATAAATTAAGAAAGAAATTATATTTGTGTTTATAATTTTAGGAACTGCTGGTGACTCTCTTACAAGGCATCATAATATGCCGTTCTCCACCAAAGATCAAGACGGGAGCTGTGCCATTTTATATGAGGGAGCCTGGTGGTACAATAAATGTCATGACTCCAACTTAAATGGTCGCTATCTTAATGGGAGTCACTCCTCTTATGCCAACGGTGTAAACTGGCGTCACTGGAAAGGCTATCATTACTCCGCCAAACGCGCTGAAATGAAAACCAAACCAGTTGAAACCTAATCCGTTCTGTTGAGCCCTGTATACAGACACCGAACGGAACAAAGCAACTACAATGGAGATTTCCGTTTTGAAGAGGTCACCACGATACCACCAGTCGTCACATTTAAGACTCCGCGGATAGTTTTATGTAGCCTGAACATGCAACAAGCGTTATTGAGGGCGCTCAGAAGGGCTTTGGTACTAGCAACCCAAAACCCACCTGGATGACCCAAATAACCTCTGTTGCGCCCAGGTTAGTCTTAGTGTTAAGCAACCAAATAGTACGTAGTTCCACAATTGTTTATAACCTGAATCTTAATTGATTATTGTACAGTAGTGAAACACTGAAGGCCATTTATACGACGCGTTTCGGATATAATGCGTCGCTTACATGAGACGCACACTGCCGGTATAAAGTGACACATGTTGTCTGAAATTAGACGTTACTTATTAGCTAAGGCGTTTGTTATTATTACTAGTAATAACCAAAGGTTAGGGAGTGCGGGCGACAACGATCGGAGGTCAAAACGCTTTTGCTCCAACGCTGTGCTTTGCGTAAGTTTCACGTGACAGATGGTCAAAACACGCGTGATCAGACTACGAGGGGTAGAAGGTCGAAACGCTCGTGATCAAATTGCGTTTTGTGCATTTCATTCATTCTTAGTGGGAGTTCAAACAAAATGCTGGCTACATACATGCGACACATGCATAATGACAACCTGGAGATTAGGATTGCGGGCTCCTCTTGTCGCCTGCAATTATTATTGTTATTATTATCATTATTATTGATTTATTTTATTTATTATAAGCTCGTACAGCTCGTACAGCCTTTGCTTAGATAATGTCCCCTTTAGGAGCCGATTACCTCCTAATCGCGCGCGTGTTATATAAGACGCGATTGTGTGGTAGGCCGGCGTCATTTTAACACTCACCTTGTTGGATTGGCAGCATTCACACATATATGAGTGCGTGCCAAGAAACAAGGCTTAAACCAGACGCGAACCACTTATACGAGCTGTTCGTGTCTTATGTAATACATTACTCAGCTCACGTCTTATTTAAGACGCGTATTTTTCCCTACATAAATGAACTGTGTAAGTCTATAGTGATCAGAGCGTTCTACTTTGTATATCTGTAGTGAAAGACCAATTAGCGGTAATCCGGGGTTAAAATTTTGTTCCGTTTTTGTATTCACCTTCCCAATGTATGGCTTAGAGTTACATTTTGAGTTATTATTACTGTATCTCCGAGTAAAGGCTCAACAGTATTTTGTAAACACGAGTTACATGTTCATAGACAAGAAAACCTTTGGCTTAATCCTGGTTTAAACTTTTTTTCTTGGTTAAAACCATCTTTCGAGGAACCGGGCCGTGAGCTACGGACTGAGGTTTCAAGAGAAACGATCAACAACGCACAAAGCTGTATGCACACTTTCTCTTTGGATGTGCATTTTGTTTTAAATTGAAAACAATCATAATCGTTTTCATTATCATACTGAGTCATATAATCATAATCTTATAATAGTAAAAGTAGAAGAAAAAGAAGAAGATTGGAAGAAAACGACGACTACCACGAAAAATAGAAAGAGTAGGAATCCACATGGCGGCTCTTCACTTGCCCATGGCCGCCAACCATTCTAACCTACTGAATATTATAATGTCTGGAGAAATAAAAAATATGTGCAATGTGAATAAAAGAAAAACAGTGTGGCATTAATATAACCGAGCATGTATTGCAACTACAAAGAGTCATCACTTGATACCGCAATGTCCGTTTTAGAGAGGTTAGTTTATATGAATTACATCCCTTCTTTTTCTCTTGGGTAGAGACTATACTTGCCACAAGTCGACTGTATTAGCGCTGAATGCGCGAGGGACGCTCGCAAAGCGACCGACGTCCAGCAAAAACCGGAAACGGGATGAGAAAGTATCGGTAGAGATTCGAGGCACCTTCATTGGGTGTTTAGTGAAAACTCTCCCAAAAAGCAAATTTCATTTTCAAGATGATCGTTCTAGTCGGATTGAGTCCTGACTTTTCTGGTAATCGCCCCCTTCTTGGTCCTTTGTCCGTCTTTTTTATATTTTCAGAGGAAAAATTGTGAGAATTTTGTTCGAAAATTGTCCGTGATAAAGAGGTGTTTTATTGAGGTGGTTCGACTGTATGTAATTTGCAGTTTTTTTTTTTACAATTTTTGGTAACACATACATTTTTAGCAATTGTCAGGTGCAACAGTGGTGCGGTACTTTTATATAAGAGATCTTAACATACCGTAAATTAAATAATTGACCCCCCTCCCCATCCCCCCTCTCAGAAAAAGGTCTCTCGTCTAAAAAACGCCCTTTATCGGATTATTGAGTGTTACGTAGTAAAATTGCTGTCGTGCGTTGCGTGACTTTCTCGAACGTTTTCTACGTTTTTGGATTATTCATGAAAATTTAATTAGGACATGTTTACTTTTCAGCATGAGCCAGCAGATTTGCATCAGTTACTGAAATCATAAAATATGTCGAGAAGCTACTACTATTCGCCTGTTTAGTATTTTCTAGAACCTTATGTTAAACGATATACAAGTTCCAAGAGAGTTCTTTTGACGAACGAAGTTTTTTCCCACGAGCTGAACTGCCGTGTTTAGTCAAGTGTGACGAAGTTCGATTTTCAAGTTCTGTGTTTACAAGTTGGCGGAAGCCAAGATATCTGAAGTTCAAGTGAGAGTTTGTTATTATTGGCAGAGGCTGTTTAGTTCTACTTAAGTTCAAGTCAAGTTTGTGTTGGCGGATGCTGTGTTTCAAAGCTCTGTAAAGGCTTTTTTCCTAAACTTCCTTGAGTTAATCCGACATCCCTGCGTGCTGATAGTCAGTGAATAATTATTCTCGAAACCTTCGAACTCGTAACATCGAGCTTTAGCCAATTCCCATCCTCGGAGACCCAGGGGCAGTCAGTCGGGTCGATAAAATGTTCGTGGTGAAAGTTTACTGTAAGATCGAGACGAGCCCCTGGGCACTTACTCTTACCGAACCAGTTCCAGAAGCGTTTGAATTGCCTGCCTCTGATTGGCCAGAAAAAAATTTTTCTGGCCAATCAGCGAAGAGAAGCTGCCGGGTGACTCTCGTGTTTTCTTACACGACGTAGTTTTCCTCATCGATCGCTATAGTTGCGTAGCGCGTTCAACGGGAAAGTTTCAGAACAAAATGTTAACAACCCGCCAAAACTACAACCTTTAGCACGGCTACAAGAAACAAACACTCTCCGATGAATTTTTAAGGCGGATCTTTCCAAGGTATCGTAAATTTTTATTGCTGATACGATACGCGATGCATGACTTTCACTTTCCACACCTTAATTTGCTCACATTGTTTAGTATACAACTCCAAGCTTACATTTAGATGTCCATGTTCGTTGCACGACTTCTGAAACTTTCTACAGCGTGAAAATTTCCGTTGCACGGGCCACGAAACTACGTCGATTGATCGTGGGAAATGCCGGCTAGCGCATAGCGGCAGTGCCTTCTTCTTGCTTTTGCTCCAAATTTTAAGTTTAAAAGCTTACAGCAGTTGACCGTACGAATTCTGCCGAAGTTGATAGTAGTGTTAACTTTAGATTCGAGGGAAACGTCCAGCAAGCGCTTGAAGAAGGCTTGCAAAGATTTATTATTGAGAAGATTGTGAAAAGAAGAGATGTTCTTGGGCAATTGATAGAAGAGTCTAACCTTCCAAATGTTGCCTGTAAGCTAGGGGGTTTAAAAATCGTTAGATGCTAAAGGTTATGAATTCCCTTGTAATCCTTTGGTCATAGTGATTTCACCTCTCATGTCAGTTGTTGAGGACCAGGTAAAGTACTCAAGGTCACTAGGAATTCAGGCCGCTTACTTAGGGGAAAGCAAAACGAAAGATCGAGAAATATTGAATGGATAGGGAGCGTTTTCTTTGTTGTATGGAAGCCCGAAATCATTAACTGGGGGACAAGAAATTCAGGGCAATGTTCTCTACGGAGTTTTACCAGAAGAATCCTGTTGCAGGTACTGATACAGCTGCTCATTGGTAAGTATGCTGATTTGTTTACTAGAAAGGGTGCTACACTGGATTCATTGTGGGGAGTTCTGAAGGGGTAAAATGGGATTTAAGTCACTGGCAGGGGGATTCTATCACTGAGAATGTAAAAAAATGTAAAAAAATGGGAATTGAGGGTTAAACAGTTTCAATGGGATTGTTATCCCCTCTACAGGACCCTCATTATACTTAACAGTAGATCTGGCTTTTATTCAAGGATGCTCAGTAATCTTATGTCTAAAAGCTGACAGACACTTCACAAGAATTATCATGTTTTTTGTCACCATCTATTGACAATTAAAAGCTGATAAAGTAAGCCTTGTGACTGCTTAAGATAATAGTGCAATTGAACATTTACATATTATAAATGGAAAAACATCCCATAATACAGAACTACAGATGCCATTACATTAATTTTATTTTTAAGCTGTTGAGATTGTTTTTTTTACTTTATCATTATTGGAATTCACATGTCTACTTATACTACTGCTTGACTTATAGAAATACTAGGGAGCTTCAATATTTTATTTTATTTTAACAACAACCTGCAGAAGAGAAAAAATCCTTCCTTTTTTGATGACAGTAATGAAAACAGCAGAATCATTCCAAGCCACTTATGTTGTGACATCAGTGCCAAATACTGTTAGTCTGCTTAAAGAAAATCAAGATGATCTGAGACAGGAATTTCAAGAATCAAATCTTCACTGCTTGTATTCTAGAATTTGTATTCTCTGATTGTCTTCTATAGGAAACAATAATTGATAATTGTCATAAATTATGTACTGTGGAAGGTATTTTAGAGACACTGTGTGTAATGGTGACCATGCAATGAAGATTTTTACCTTTCTGAAGAGGGTGTTTAAAGATTTAAAAATAATTAAAAATGAAGAATATTATTGTCAGATGAGGAGAATTATAATAGGGAAGTTGTAAAATATCAAACAAATGCACCAAAGGAAAATTGTTAATATTGCA